ACGGTCAGAGTCGGTCCTATCGTTGGGACTTTTTGAAAAATTTTTACGACCCCCCTCCTTCATGAGAGATTTCATACGACCCCTTCTTCACAACTTTTTTTCCCTCAAAAACGTCCGTCGGGGAGGGGGTATATATACTTACCATGAAACCGCAAAGTTTCCAAGATTTCCCTCCACTTTCCCCCTATCTTTCTATTTTTACCCATATTTCCACTGCTACCATTTTCTAGGGAATAGGGGTATATACGCACGCTGAAACGGCAAATTTTCTCCCGCGCGCTCTCACCTCATTACATGTAATTTCGTGCTACCGAAACAAGTACGCCCCCACCACAAACTCAACAAACTACGACCCCCCCCGTTGGTACTTGTCCCAACGTAATGGTTGTATCGGTGCGGTGAAGTATTGGTTGACGATAGCTCAAGTCGTACACCTCCGCTCCAAGTATTGCAGAAGTCCATAGGCCGCCAATCGGGAGGGAGGGTCAGACCGATACAGCTGCTAAAGCGGCAAGGTGTCTGCGAAATTAATGGTATTGGAATCTGATATACTTGGATTCCGACTTGTTCAAAAAATTTTGACATTTTTGGGGCAACGCGTTCAAACCATGTAACTCTGTTTCGTGCAGCCAGAAATCCACGTGGCACACGTGGCTAAATTCTCGATGAAAAGGTGACATCACGTGTGCTCAAAGATGTTCTTGAATCGATGCCACGTTAATGCCACGTCAATTTCTGCAATTGCACAATTTCTGGTCTTTTGAAGGCGAGGTTAGAACTTCTCGTATTTGTTGAAAATGGGACTAAGCTTTAGGCAAGGGAGGAGAAAATCCAAGGTGTGAGAGCAATTCTTATTTTTCCCAAAGTTCCTGTCCCCTCCTAGGCTTAGTTCCAGAAGATGACCCCGTATCTTGCGATAGCGCCAAAATTTCTCATGTCTGCTATAAATCCGACCTCACCTCGTCAGATGTGACCCCTCCATGAAGCATGCATACGGACCTTCGTTGGCTCGATCATATCAACTGTTGACTCTTTGCGCATGACTTCTCCATCGGGTACTTCATCGGTATCGATCGCTCGCGATCGTGTTTTTACACGTACGAAACGTGATTCGACATGTGTTTGGTTAGTGCTAGTGGACACTACGGCCATATTTGTATGCTTGCAGTTTTTGACTGCGCTGGTGACTGTTCGCATGGTCTCGACACGGAGCTCTCTATACGGTAGCTTAGTAGCTTAGTATGGCTGAACGTCGCAGTGTACGGATCACTTGAACTCGCCTTCAAACTGTGTCGATGTGTTGCCTTCGTCTATGCTCTCTCACTCAAACGGTGGCTCATATTGTGACTTCATACAGTGGGACTGGAGCTCATGTGGGGGGGGGGGGAATCCACAACAGGGCCGATGGTAGGTGACACTAGGACTAAGCCAGGGAGGACGCAGTAATTGTAGTAATAACACCAAGTAATAATACCAAGCACAGTAATTGGCTCACTTGGATGCCCCACCCCAAGGACATGAGCACCCCGAAACTTTTGTTGTAAACTGGCTTTCCCACTCCGCATTATACCCCACTTTCAGAGCATACGTTCATAGTTTGCGATCGCGCTTGCGATTAGGCTGTTACGCTATAAGGACAAGGTGTATCAATTGGGCGATGAGACGAGTAGGATTGTGTATGTATTGGTGTGTTTACTCCGCCCACGGGGTGTCCCAATCGATATGTAAGCTTTTCTTCTTGAATACTCACCAAACAGCCTAACAGCATAATCGCGAACTATGAACGTTGCCTTTTGGTAAGTGCAAAGCTCTTACCCATCCTCATTGGCATTTGAATGTGAATCGCCCTCTTTCTCCAATTGCCTTTGCTCTAGCCAATCGCGGTAGAAAACAAGGAGGAAAGTTTAAGTATTCATACAACCGGCTCTCACATCCGCAGTGCTGAGCTGAGTCATCTAGCGATGTTGAAAGCTTTATGAAATGTGTTTCCGGGGTAAGCTGTGCCAGTGCGTGAGTCATATTAAACTGCTAGGATTAGTCCACTGGATTTATTTACTGTCATAGGCTACCAGCGCTTGCTCTTGTTATTCTATGTTCATAGTAGATCTGAATTCAGAATGTTTCGTGACTTTGATAAATTCTTAACAGTACTTGATTCGTGCTAGGCTTGACATGCAATCGGAACGTGATCTCATGAACCTGTTTGCTTGTATTGATTTCTGACTTGACTCGTTCGTACTCGTGCTTTTGTTCGGCTCCCCGTCTGCAAAGTGGAAACTGTTAAATTTTTACCGTCGAATAATCCGTCTGAATAATCCGTATTTACGGAGATTCTCCAGTAGGGGCCAGTGGTGCGGCAGGTGGTGCCGCTCTCGCAATAAGTTAATTCCGATCTTTCGGCAGAGAGTAAAGCTCGCGACGACACGGCGGTGCTAATAATCGCGAAGCGATATGTGTACATATCCGCGAAATCCTCTCCTGCGAGGTATTGGAATTTACTGTATGAGGTTACAACCACATCGCAACTACATCCCCTCCTCCATTATCGCAGGTGTGGCTAGTCTACTAGGACAGAAAGCGACTTTTTCGCGTTTCGCAGCGCGAAACATTTTCGCTGCGAAACTCAGGTCCACCGCTGATCATGAGTGGACCTGGAGTTCCTGCAGCGAAAAATGTTTCGTGCGCGAAACGCGAAAAAGTCGCTTTCTGTCCTAGTGAACCACACCCCCCTTATCGGAATGGACCCGGCATTTAGTTTGTATTGTTGCAGGCTGCAGAACACAAAAAGCTAATGTATTTGGAATCAAATGGGTGTGAATTCAAGAGCTACCTACGTTAAGGTGAGTCCTATCCTCTATGACAATCATTATAAATTCACAATTGTTTATTTTCCTCTCTCATTTAGTAAATCAGTCACTTTGTTGTCATGTTTTTTTTTTGCTTCAGGAGAGTTAAGATGATTTAGTGAATAGATGACATGGAAAGTACAGAAAGTATGTTGCGAAATATTTCAAGACCCGGCCTACATGTTCATTGTTACCTCATGCCGCTTTGCACCTTGGCTGATAATTGGTTGAGGTGTCATGATGGAATAGCACAAAGTTTAATGCGCAAGGGTCTCATCTGAGTAAAGAAGGGGGGCAGGTAGATAACGACAGCTATTGGCAGTCTACAGAAATTCGCATTTTTTTATTTGCAAGGGGAGGAATCGTAGCTTCCCTCCCCTGAAAAAAGTGCAGTACTTCGTACAATAAGTGAACTGTCGCACCCAGGGTGAATAACGGTCGAGGAATTCCTCGACCATCGCTCTCTGCTGTGCGAGAGTAGAGCCGATAGTGAATGTACGCGCGGAGAGCACAGACGGCTCGCGGGTGGCGAGAGTGAATATCCGCGCGAGAACGTAAAGGATCAGGCGAAAATCCTCGACGTGCCGTTGAGGAATCCTCAAGCAATATTCACCCTGGTCGCACCAGGGTGAATATTGCTTGAGGATTCTCCCTTACTGGCTTGGACCCCTGGAGGCAATTCTTTAACTGAACTGTTCGGCCACTATGTTCATTTGTTACTAGTCCAAAATCAAGATCTTATTTCCGGTCGAAACTTTTGCCTCAGAATGTATTTCGATGCATTTATTACAAATATGATTGTTGTTTTTGCGGCAGAGCACTTTGCTCGCAATCGCTAACGATGTTTACATTCCGTTTCCTGGACTGGCGCAGGCCTAACTGCATTGTTTTTCTCGTTTATCTGAGCTTCTCGACTTGGTCGTGCTGTAGCTAACCATAAGCTTATTGGGGGACTCCAGGATAAGTGAATAACACATCGTGCGGCAAAACTTGTAGAGTGTGAGAGGTGATCACTGCCTTCCGAGACCTCTTGTCCTCAGAGCTTAGTCCTGATCGCGATCAAATCAGTGAGAGGGCGCACCCCGAGCATACTAAAAATTAATGTCATATTCGTTATAAGGACACCGAAAACCTCAAAATAGAAATTTATGCCGAATTTAGTGAAGACAACAGTCGTAACATAGTGGTGCCAACCTCATGTTCGTAATCAGATCACAATATTATCTCTATAGGCGAAGTTCAGCGATTTTATATAAAATAAAATTTGGACATTGAAGCGTAAAATACATATCATAGTGGGCTAGAACGATTTTCCCAATCATTACACGCTTCAGTTACAATGAACACAGAAATATTTCGGAAGTGTTGCGTGGTCCTTAGCCGTCGTAAAGCATTAAACCTGCGCTCAGTTGCTGAGTAAACGCAACATTTTAAATGGCATTGTTTACCCTTTGTCGAATTGGTTAGTGTATGTTTTTCGTAAAGTACAAGATATAGATCCAAGTGATAAAAATGGTATGGGAATTTGCTTGGATTGTATGAGGTAGTACTAATTTCAGGCTCCGACATAAAGTAATGCTACATTCTTGGGCTCAAGTGCGCAGTGTCATGCAAAAGGGGTGGTCCGAGTGAAGACAAACAGCCAAAATGTGGCTAGAATGACAACAACCGCTGACGAAGATGACGAAGAAATTGTAAGCGATAATGGGCAAAATTAGGTCAAGTGCTGGGCTACGGCAGGCGAGATGAAAATAGTATAGAATACAAAAAAGTTGCATTCGAGCGGCTGCAAGCGACGAAAAGCAGTCTGATGTTAGTCAAAAGTCACTGCTATAGTGGCCAATGTTAGAGCGAGTTTAGAGTCAGCGCTCAACGATCAGACGATAGCGTTCCGCACAAGTTGGTAATGAAGCCCTCAAAGTGAAGGGAGGATGTCAGGCTTTATATCATCTAGTCTGCAAAAGAAAGCATTGGAAATGGTCGTGTCAGTAAGAAAGGACGTAATAAGGTAGCTTCCGCTATTTAGAACCTATAGTAGTGTAATAATGGGAATTTTCATCCGTTCATATTAAAGGTCTACCTCATTTTCCTTTGTTCTCCACATTACCTAGGTAAACATTCTGAACTGTGTATTCTAAATGCACATGTTTCTAGGTGCTCATTGGCCATGAATCATTTGCCCTGGACAAGCCTCTGCCAAATAATCATCGATTTCGATGGATTCTTTTTGTGCGCCCAATCATAGGGTCAAAGTTTACGGACAGGACATTTCTTAGCAAGGTATTTTTGTTTTCAGTTTGTTGTTTCATTCATCGTTTTAGTCATTACCTTCGTTGTTATTTCATCTTTTGCCTCGATAGTTGTTTTTATTTGGTAAGAAAGGTGTTGGACTTCACGACCGTGGCGCGATCGCGATCGCGAGTTGTGCAGGGCGCTATTCTAACGCTATGCCAGACTTCACGAGTGGGGCGTGTCGTTACTGTTTCGTGTAGTTTGAACTGCTGCGTCCAACCCCACTCGCAACTGCGATCGTATTTGCACTCGCGAAGTCTGGCACCTATATAAAGCATTCTGAATATGCTGAAGTCAGTGCTTGCTTATTGTTTTCCTGTTTTATATTTATCCATCCATTTTTTCTATCTTACACTGGTGTCTGATAAGAATGGTCTTGCGTTCTGGATATTAAGACAGAACATGTGTTGGGGATCTCCATGGTGGGTTGGGCGGCTGAGGATGGCGTTCTGTCAACGCTGGTAGATGAGTCTCCTGTAGGGGGGAATGCAGGCGCACTGAGGCTCATCCCGTCCCTCTGCCCTCAGGCTGCAGATTTGCGAAGTCCACTAGCTTGCACCCCCAGTGCATCTTCAGAAGATGTCCGAGTCCGACTATACGATTGCCATCGCGCGATCGCAGTTTGGCGTCTTGCAAAAGTGCAAGCGGCGGGGCAAACGAGCCCGCCTTCGATCGGGATACCGACTCGTCGACTGCCCTCGATGTGGGCGGGGCCAATGGCCCGCGCGTTGCGCATCATCTGGCAAGAGCGAGCTGCATTCGCGCGATGCAATTTGCTCAAGGCAGTGGGAAGCGGATTGGATCGGCGATGGACAAGCGATGGAGCGATCGGCGTTCGCTCCGCAGCCAGTCCATCGACGATCGTAATGCGCTCGGTCTGACCGAACATCTGAGGTATGCATCGCATAGGCCGCCAGCCATACTCAGATCCCTGTTGTCTTTACATTTTATCACTACAGCAACATACCCTCTGCTGTACTGTTCTCGGATGATAAGTGTATCGTGCGTGCGATCGCGTTTTCCAAGGGAACGAATATTTATGTAACTTTCACGTTTGCACGTCCTTTCAATACACCCCTGCAGTTTTCCGTACCATTTTCTCTCGTGTTCACCGTCGTCAACTTTACTTTTGGTGAACAAGAGAAACGTTGGCGGACACCACCTATTTTGCAAAATAGATCGTGTGCGAATCAGGTCGACGGACTACTTGAACTCAGCCCTTTAAACCGCCTCTGCGCTCTCTCGCGGGTCCCTCTCCTCTCCAAGGCTTAGTCCTAGGGCATTCACCCGTTCTCTAATCGTCTGTGCTCTAGCCATCGCGGCAGGACCATTGAGGAAAAATCAAGTAGTCCGTAAACCGTTTAATTACAGCCTACGCTTATAACTTCGTATAATGTATGCTGAGCATCATCGTTTAACTATTCATCAAGTCACGTACTCTTCAAGGTGGAGTGGCACTGCATCCCCATTGGCCGAACCGTTGGTTCGAGTGGCTCAAAGGAGCCGCCTTTCGACATTGGCGAAGAAAACTGGTTATGCATCGTTCACCCCAAAACTCATTATCTATTTCAACACTCCTCATGCTAAGCCGTATCCGGTGCAGTATGACATGAACCTCAAGCTTGGTATGTGCCATCCTTATCCCTACTAGTCCAGAAGGTAAATGTTGTGAGTTCAGAGAAGCATGCATTTCATCAACAAGAAATGACCTTTGCTATGTCGGATGTGACTCCGTCGTTTCTTGACTTGGTACGACGCTTCTGTGGATCCACTGATGGAAAAAGGAAGAAGCGCGATGGCGAGGCGTCAGCAAATCGCACGAAAAAGCCAAAACCGGATGATGGAAAGTGAGGGTTTCTTGTTTCTTTCGTAGCGTTACTTATAACATTTTTGAATGTTTGGCCTTGAATTATGCTTATTTCAGGAATCATAATGATTATAGTATGAAAGAAGGAAAAGAAAGCGAAAAGAAGAAAGATCCTGGACGTGAGAGTGAAAAAAGTAAAAAGAAGACCAAGCGCTCGTCTAAGGACTCAAATGTAAGTTCTACGCATTTTGGTCAAATAATTTTTCCACAAATGATGGCAGATGATCTGTCGAATCTTGCTCCGACATTTCAGGAAGGAACAGATCGTGAAACGATTCCTGCTCGCGATGCTTCGCCAGAGTCTTCACCGAAGGACTCTTCAACTTTGCGTCTAACAATCACACCTCAACGACCAGTCAAAGTCGCGCCAAATAAGGCCGAGGATCGCGGTCAGGACAGTTCCAGCGATTCGGTAAGGTTCCACCTCCTAAAAAATGCTTTTCAAAGCCCATCTCATTCCCTGATGTAGAAATTTTCAGTCCTCTGTGTATGACTCTTCTCCGTCGTCGTCATCATCTCTTGGGGCTTCCAGTCCTGCATCGCGAAGAGCACTGCCACTTTCTGAATTGCATCGTCGCTTGACGTCCCTCACGGACGAAAATTTGATATTCAGGCAGGTTTTTCATTTTGTTCTGCTTTCCCTTCTTTACAATTTCACAAAAAAAAAAATCGCATCGCTCTATGCTAGTAGGAGATGGCGATTACGCAGAGCTCCTACTTGAAAGCCAAAGATTGCGCTAGGTTGTGCTGAGGACGTATGATGGTACTACGGTTTATTTTCGGAGCTGGATGGGATTCTCACGTAGCTGCTATAGCGCCGGTAGTGGCGAGACCGGTTTGGAGAGAGATATTGAGATGGCAGCAAACGTGCGAATCTAAATTGGGGGGGGGGGGTAAGGCGCTTGGACTATGAGCGGACGTTGGTCATGGCGACAGTGAAGCTGCGAATGGGAAATGAAGCAACAAGTAAGGCCGCCGATAAAACTCTCGACGGTCAAAAGAGAGCGAAGGAGACCTTTCTCGCTCGTTGTCAGTCTTGACCGATTGGGCGGCGGTGCCCCGGACCATAGTTGCCGTCTGAAACGACACGCCCCTTACTCCGTACCGCGGCTCCAGCTAAGCCGCGCGGTCGCGTGGGCGAGACAGCTGGCTACGCCGGGGACTAATCGCACGTTGCCGTGTCGCGATTTGGTGTGCACTGGAGGCTATCCGACGCGCGTCCATGAAGTTAATCGCTTAGGTCGCGGCCAGGTATGGGCAGTGTCACATGTTGTGATAGGCGCGCCGGGCTAAGCGCCGTCGGCCTAATCGGCCGGTCTCTTTATTTTTTCTTGTTCTAGATTATCTTGCACTTTATTCTGGTGATTTATCTCTCGTTAGAACGCAGTGAAGGGGAAGGCAGGAATGCATAGTGCTTTGTTAGGTAGGGGGTCGAGTGCTCCGTTCGCCGCGAAGTGCCCTGTGAATCGTTTGCTCGAATGGAGTCATATTCACTTAACTTTCTTCAACGAGGAAAATCAAGGAGCAGCACTCATGTGCGCCGCTACGCTAAACGGAAAAGGCTCTCTCAGGCGACTGAAAGTGCCTTTTTCCGTTTACTGAAGACTTTCTGTTCACTGAAGACGTTGACTGAAGACTGCGCGGATTCTATGAAATAAGTCGAAGTCAAAGCTGGTGAGGTAACAATGCAAAAATGAACGTGGGCGGGGGGAGGGGGAATGCTTAGTAGTTAGTATGAGCAACTCCTAATGTTGAAGAATGGATTACTGGTGACAACATTTTATTAAATTTTTCTTATTTTAAGGGTAGCCGAAATTCTGCTTACGCACCCTACATCGACCACAATGTTGCTGCCTTCGAAGCCGAGTATCTCATTCGATCTCACATCAGCAGATGCTGCTCTTGTTGCCAAGCTAAGTCATGTACTTGTGAAGAACGAGTGATACTCTCCCTCAAAGAGATCGCGCCACGTTCACGTGGACTTCACTTCATTTGTTACTTGATTCATTGTTCTGTAGACTAGATAGTTATAATCAGAATTTTAACGTGTTGAAGGAAAGAGACCACCTATTTCTGAGTATTTCTAATACTATGTAATAACCCCACGTTATTAGTACCAGTAGGTCACTCTTATATTGTTTTTGTTTGTTCTGTGATTTTTTTCCTGTATGTTCCTTTGTGTCCCTGAAATGCTTGCCCCGGTCCAAGTTTGTGAATTCGTGCATTCAGGTATGTAACATGATCATCCCAGTTATCTCTATGTGACTTCCAAAAAACTGGTTCTATTGTCTACTCTGTAAATATTATTTATCGTGATGATACCTAAGTCTTGGCGCTTACGGCTTGATGATGCTCCCATAGATTACTTAAAAACGGATATGTGTATTGTTGGCTTTTTCGTTGAATTTGTTACGTATTTGGGTATCTATCGCCATTTATATCGCCACAATCACCCACCCAGATGCGTATATTCTCATTCCACCAAATCATTTTCGATCGATACTCATGCCTTTTGCGTGGCACTGGACAACTTGTTTCCGGTAAGCGTTCGTTCATAGCCTATGCTCCGAATAGGTATACTACTTTTACATGTGATGTCGCTCAATTGGAGATTCTCCCCTCTTTTTTTGCTAACAGAGAAATAAATACTCAAAGTTTTCTGTTGTGTAGAATATTCAGTGCAGGGTTTCGTATTCCGATTTTCGATTCCGGGAGACGTTCAGACTGTGCTATCCTAGTTCCTTGTTTTTTGCAGGTCAAAGTTATGAAAGTCTCTGTTTATAATCGACAAAACAATAAGTGGTTCACAGAATTTTGGAGCTTGGTAACGTTCCCGAATCTTAGCTGACTGGTAGCTTAGAAAGTAAGTCTGGCTTTCGGGTAGTCGCAAGTGTATCCTAATGATTCCCACTTACAATCAATCGTCCCAATTAGGAACTATAATGAAGTGTAGCTTGTTGATGTGTTGTGATGCATTGTGGCCTCACAAAAGTTCGGAGACTTTCACTTCCCCCCCCCCCCTTACGTGGTTGTACTTACCGGAGCAAATCGACCTAGTGTCTCCGTATACTGGCCTCTTACTGTTATAAGGGGAATAAGCTGAAGCTGTGTTGGTTTTTTAAAGATAAAGCATAAAGAGTTTGCCGTTGATCAGTCCCTTTTTGGATGCGCCACGCATTCCACTTCCATTTATACATTCGTAGTGGCGTATGAATGCGATGTGGCCTATACA